GTTTTAACGAGGCACATTATCTATGGACATCCAAGGGGGAGTGTTATAAGACAAATCAAATTATGGTGGATGTCTACTCTTCCTCCATGATTTTCTCAAATGCTTAATGACATATTCAATGACATATTTCTATGTTTAATGACATATTCAATAACATATTTTTCTTCACTTTTCATGCCTATATAAAGGCCTTGTAATAGATAAGAAAATACACACAATTGAAGAAGAAAATCTCTTCCTTCTCTCTATCTCTATTTCTTGTTCATGTTTTGCTAAATTGCTTTTATTTCATAACATGTCTTCATGTTTTACTAAATTACTTTTATTTTATAAAAGAAAGAATATAGTTGCATTGTTCAGTGGCAAAATTTATTTACAAAACCCTCGTGCATGGAATGTAAAAAGGCATAATCCGTGGGAAAAAAACAAAAAGACATCGGAAGAAAAAGTAAGCAAATGGGGAGGCAACAGTAAATGCACCAAAAATGGGAAATTATATCTTTTCTTTAAATGATGTGACTTTTAAATTTTTTAACAAATTACATAAATTAAAAAATAGAGGAAAAACCAAAAAATAAGGAAAAAGATAAATAAAAATCCTAGTTTGAGAGCGGTGTCACCTCACTTTTCTTTGACCCTCTTTTATATAAATATATAGATTTCACTCGCTATCTCATTTCCTATAACTATTTCAGTCATTATGTATTCCATGTCTGTAGTCTCTGCTCCTACACAAAGTCCTTAACTAAGGTTCCGTAACCTTAAAGAGTAAGAGCCCGTTTAGCTTAGCTGATCTACGGTAGTTGATAAGCATGCATTAGGTGAAAACACTTTGTGTTGAAACTGATTTTATAAATAATAAACGCTACATGTTTGGATAAAAGTGTTGAAACTGATAATAAACAATTAAAGTGTTTGGTAAAAAAGAACTGATAAGTAACTTTTCTATGAAAAAAGAACTCAAATACCCTTATGACTGTTCACACTAACAGAGAGATGATTACTGCAAGAATTTTAATTCTAAGTTACTTCAAATGAAAATTATTTTATGTTTCAATTTACTTTTTAGTCCTAAATTTATCAAATAAGATTGTTTTAAATATAAATTATTTTGGGATAACCTAATATACAATTATTAATAATTTGTAGATTTTTGGTAAATACATACTTAAATAGTGCGTGTAATATTTGAATAAGAAATACATGTTTTCAATTTTCTTTCTTTCTAATTAAAAATAAACATTCAATTACGATAAGTTTGAAGTCCCAAAGTAAAAACCCAATAACTTACGGTGATTTTACATTAAGAATTTTGTGTTCCTTTTTTTTCCTTAGAAAAAATAAGAAGAAGCAAAAAACAAAAAATAAAATAAAATAAAATAAAATAAAAAATAAAAAATAATAATAATAATAGTAATTAAAAAAAAATCTCCATCAAGAAGAAAAGAAAAAGATGACAGGTTTATAAACAATAAGCAAAATACTAGACATGTAGCCTTTCTTTACTAGGGTAGAATAATTCATCACTTTATTAATGATAGTCACCACCAACCATATTTGTTTTAACAGTTAAAGAATTAAAAGCATATGAGGTCTTACACAAAATTATAAGCTTAGAATCTAACAAAATAATGGAGAGGTTTCTCATCCAAAACATTACGAAGAAAACGAAAGTATTGCTAGTCTTGAAAAGAAAAGGATGGAACGAAGTCGTGGAAACGGAGTGGGTTAGGACATTTAAAAATGGTTATTTAGGGATAAAATAGTAAAATTATTGGCCAAACTAAAAGTGCTTATAAGCTTAAAATTCATAAGTTGGGGGAGACCAACTTATGGCTTTTGGCTTATAAGCGCTCGACTTATAAGCACTTTTAGTATTTACCAAACGCGTAGATAAACTAAAAACTGCTTATGAGTTTTTAGTTTGACCGCTTATACCTTGCTTCCCGTTGGGAGATGTTGATTTGACCGCTTTTGGTGGCAACTTTCGAGGATGCCTTGACTAATCATATGTTATGAGTCCAGTATTAAGATTACTATAGAAAATTAGTTTACGGAGTGATGTTAAATTACAGCTAGAATTATCATCATCACATCAATATAAACTTTTATTTTTATAAACCAATTCTACAGGTTTTTGAAAATGATTACGATGAAAATGTAATAAATATGTATTGCAATTGTTAAATGTCATGTCTAACAATTTTCACATTATATCTGACTTGTGAAAGTCAAAAAGAATCTAAATCAACAAGGGAACAAATGGTAAAGCCGAAGACCACCAATCGAACTAGAGATACACCTACGAACCAGTATCTGTTGGCTTTCATTCATATATGCAATTTGTTACACTGAATAAGCCATAATAAAATCTGTGCGAAGTTACACATTTTTAGTTCATTATTATTGATTACACGTACAGTAAGTGCATGCTGATGCTTAGCTTGAATGCTCTGAGAAAAATCAACTGAACAAAAATTTGCCTGCAGAAACTTGGGCGCGGTGTCTGTGTTGGTTCATTTTTCACTATTATCGCTTTCTCTTTTAATGGGATCAGAACTTACTACAGGAAGATTTCTCCTGTACTGAGTAGATGTCAACCTTCTCTCAAGAGGAGTTTTCCGCTTACTCACCACAAACCTGTTAACCCCCTTGCGCATTGGCATTATCGATGGGAAGTCTTCATCTGGTATCTGACTCAATTCAGAAATGTCTTTTATCTGAGCAACACGGCGGAACCACCTCTCAGCTTTGGCTTCTTCAGACATGTCCAAGGGATCTGGGTCCTTCACAGCAGACCCTTCCAAGCTGTTTCCTGTCCATCCACTTCTGATATTCTGGTTTCCAGGCAGCTGGGGTGAACCCACTCCNTTCCTTCACAGCAGACCCCTCCAAGCTCTTTCCTGACCATCCACTTCTGATATTCTGGTTTCCAGGCAGCTGGGGTGAACCCACTCCCCCAGTCTCGGAAGGGGATACATCATCTTTCACCGAGTTTCTACTGCCACTACTATCAGTGCTTGAAGCATCGGAAGCAAGAGAAGTCTCGCCTATATTTCCAATATGAGGGAACCCCTGATCTCCAGAGAAATTTGAACTTGCAAACCTTGAGCTTGTAAATCGATCATCAGTTCTTTGTACAGTGTTCATATCTGTGAACTTATATCCAGGATCATCTGACTTTTGATGTGTCTTCTCTACATCTGCCGTCTCAGAATAGGTTTTGGAACTGGATATAGATGAAGTTTCAACCCTAGACACAGAGGAAGAATCTGCATTATCTGCCTGTTGTGTGTCCTTTTTCGCAAAGTAGCCAGGAGGGAATGGAACAAATGGGACAAAGCTACTATTGTTTGCCTGCTCCATGGCCACTTGTCTTTTGTACATTGGAGATGTCAAAGAACGATCTTTCTTCTTGCTAACTACAAATCTGTTTTCTCCTTTACGCATTGGCATAATCTCCGGGAAGTCATCATCAGAGATGGCACTAGGTAAGTCTTTGACATCATGTAGCTCCGCAATTTTCTTGAACCAGCTCGCTGACTTCTCAGCTTGTTCTCTCTCTTTATCCTTGCTGAATGGGCGATTTGACTCCAACTTCTCCACGGACGTTCCAAAGTCATTGCCGACACTTGCTGAGCTTGTTTGGTGACTAGTCTCAGGAGAGTGAAAGATACCAGCTTTTTCATTCACTTTCTCGTCCATGACTGAAGTTTGATTCTTTTTATCAAACATGTCTGTTGGTAATGGCACAAATGGAACATGGTTAGAACTTTTTCCTCTATGATAAATAGCTGACTCAGTGTTTTCATCAGCAGCAATACCCGAATAACTTGTTCGAGATGTTTGATCCATATTCTGCTTCATTGATGTGTCAATGATATTATTCGCAGCTCCAGTCAAAGTCTCACCTTCTGGGATAACATTGTTACCCAAGTTCATGTTGTACTGGGAGTTCGCCAATCTCCTTTCCAAGGGTGTTTTCCTTGTGCTCACGACAAATTTATTTTCTCCTTTCCTCAATGGCATTATTTCAGGAAAATCTTCATCAGCCGCTGCACTATCGATATCAGATGCATTGTTCATCTGAGAAACCTTAGAAAACCAACGCTGTGCCTTCTCCTCATTCTCAGCCAACCTAGGATCAATACCATTTGCATACGCAGAGTTCCCGTTGAACCCTGTCGCTGAACTGGAGTGAGTAGTTCCAAGTGAAACCCCAGCTGGCCGTCCGAAGTCGCATTTCAGGCATACCACATTTCTCCCGTAATTGAAGAAATAACATCTGTGAAACCAACAAATAATAAAGGACATATCCTACATGATAATGAAATGCAAAGAACTAATGACTGAAATACATAAGCAAAGACTCGGTGTTTACTGAGGGCATTCCCACTCCCCGCCTGTCAGCTGTCTCCTTGGTCTAGGTTCCTCACATTCAAGGCATTTGTTGTTTCTTGCAAAGTTCATGAAATTGCACCTGATCAACATTCATGCAGTCTTGGACCGTTAAAGATTATCAAAGTACATGAACCAACAAATTAACAAGCTTAAGAGTATCAGTATGTTTGGTTTGAGCAAGGGAAAGAGAAGAATAGACTATGGAGGACGCAAATAATTTTACTTTGCGGTTCAGTACATTCGCCTTATGTTATTGGTAGAGCTAGACGTCCATGAAAGAAATAGCTTTAATGACAACAAAAGTAAACATTAATATTCTTATTTCCATTTAATCTCCAAAGGACTGAAAATGTTGATCCGAAGCGATTGCACACCCTCCCCTTTCGCTCCAGCCATGATCTCACCTAATTTCACTTCGACCATAACATATACACCAAAGAACAACTGCCTCACCCTCCTAACTCAATATTCTAGAAAGGACTAGGGTAGTTACTGTCCACGTCCATTAGATTACGTGCCACTGTAACCTAAAACAGCTGAATTCCAGAATAGATTCTAGATATTCACCTCTTTACTCATGAAAAGAAGATGTTAGAAGGTGAGGAATGAATAACATGCAAGAAAATGAGTTATACTATATATAATAATCTTAATCTTCAAGAATACTGGAAAACATTTATGCATGAATATTAATAGGAGAGTATATTGTTTTTTCACGTCCTAATGGAATTAATCAAAAATATGAAGGATCACTAGAGGTGGGATTGTCCTTGTGTCCTCAAAAAATTTGAGGCCACAAAACTGAAATAATGGACAACAAACTAAAAAGAAGAATTTTAGAAACAAGAAAGGCAAGAACAAGACAATTGTACATACCTTTGGCATATCCAGTCGCCTCTCTTCATTACAAGATTTTGTCTAATAGGCCTTGGTGTTTGTCCATATCTACCTGAAAACTGATATTGCTCTGGAGAAGGCAGGTTCACTGCTGGAGTTCCACAGCTCACTTCAACCAACTCAAGCAGAAGATTCCGGCAAGATGATTCTATAAGTTCCCTGCCATAGAGAGAGTTATTTTCTGAAGAAACGGTGGGTTTACTTGCATAACTTAATATGTACTTCATGAGATCACTTGTGTTTGCATTGTCACAGTCGAGCACCTGAAATTTTAATCGAGGTTAAGTTCCAAAAAGAAAATAAACAACCTAAAAGGTAAAAAGAAAAACAATATTCAGCAACACTGTATCACATGTGCATTAAAGGTGCAACAACTACAGTTATTTCAACAACTCAGCAAAAAATTAAAAGAAAAGAAATTGTTGATGACAGCTCAATATAGTATTTCCTTCAGTTTTTTCCAAGGGGTCAAGGAATAGACAAGAAAAGAATAAAATTACAAGACACAGGATAGCAGATTACTTTGACCAGATAGATAACTCCCCTCACCAAGGCTAAGGCAGATGGGAAGAAATCATCTAATGTTTTCTATTCCTACTGGGATTTGACCCTGGTCTCCATACCCACTTCATTAACCATTAAGCCACACCCTTGAGCGTGGAAGACACCCTACTTTTAATAACTAAAAAATCGTCAATACAAAAAAGAAAACAAAGAAAACTTTTGAAGTTACATCTAGGCTATTCAGATCCTATTGAATGAAACCACTCAGCAGAGTGATATATCTGCTTCTTTAGTAGTGAAATATCACACAACCCTTCGACAGATTATAACTTTTTAAAAAATAGCACAAAGCGATACAGTTTATGGTGAAAGTGGAGGATTTCAAGACAGTTTTTCTTCTTTTCAGCAATGCAACAAAGAGATCTAGAAAATCAGGTTGATTTTGACATGGAATACATGATTGGACATCATTCCAACTTCTCTCAAGAGATAAAGGGTTCACTCATCTTGAATCTTTGAGACTAAAGGACTATTTGGGATATTCAGTGTTGAAGTCATTTAGCCTACATGTTGTACTTCTAAAGCCCAAAGGTGAGCCCCTGCGCTTGCTAGTTGCAAGCCTAAATACTCTTAACTGGCAAATAGCAAAGTAATACCGTGACGGAAAGATGGAAAGAACCCCCATCAGAAGTGAAATAGAACGTGAACCCATAGGCGCTCAAGCAACAGGAATGAGAAGTCTTCGTGGTGCGGGTTGAAGTTTTTGCGGGTTAAAGCTGAACCGCACCGCGACCGCACCACACTGCAAAGTTGCCTCCCAAGCTAGGGCTTGACAACATTCCCAAGAGAGGTAATGAGAAGAATTCTAGAGTGGATAGCTACCTATGCCTAGATCATTGATAAATAAAATTTAATTGATAAGACCTTTTCAAGTGTAGCCAATATCATGACATAAAAATAAGTCACAAACCTACAGCTGCCAACTGAAAAGGCCATCAAAACTTTAGCTTTTGAAAAAGTTGAGGTTGTCGATGATGTACTTTCAAGGTTTTGCTCCTCAAGCACAAAGAAGAGAGAAAAACAAAAGCACCCCGCTAAAATTTTTCACAAACTAGCGAAAACATTCTTCAAACTCACCTGAGAAGAATGTAAGATGGAAAGAACCTTACCCACTCGTTCTTCAATTCCGCAAGATTGCAAGAAGCGTTGAATAAAGGAAGAAGAAACAAACAAAAGAAAAGTCACGTTTTTGAAGCAAGAGCATAGAAAAACTAATCACCAATGTTTATTTTCAGCATACTGAGCCCTTTAAATAGGCCTTACAATGAGTAAAATTGATGAGGTTAAGGAAAACTAATCCTAATTAAACTAGAATAAGAATAAGGCTACGAAAACCTATCCTAACTAAAATAGGAAAAAAGAATTCTAGTAGGAATGGTCTACCAACTAACAATCCTAGTTTGACTAGAACTACAAATATAATACTACTAAAACAAGAATCAAATTACTAGGAAATAAGAAATAAGAAATCCTAATCTTATGGAAAAAAAATTCTATCTTGAATGGATTCTTGGACTTCTTGAATTTCTTTGAACACTCCCTTATAATTTGCCTTGGGTTTATATTCTTTACACCAGAACTTCTGTGCCTTCAGCCATATTACTCAGGGAACTTGTGCTTTATAAAGTTTCTTCAAGTGAATAGATATTTGAATTTAATCCTATCAACAGCTTATGATTCATATAATTGAACTACTTTAACTATTAAAAACATAAAGCAAGCAAATTCTATCTAAAATTTGCTTATTCTTGTTAGTCTGCACCCCCCCCCCCCCCAAAAAANCCGCATCTCCCCCCCCCCCCAAAAAAAGACGCACCAAGACATAACCAAACTTCATAAGATATGCACATATTCATGGATATGAGGCACTGTTGTTGAGGGAACAAGGAATTAATTTTGCAAGTCCATTTCATATTCCACTCTTATTATACACTCTGCTCTTTTTGTGCGACTTGTCCCTATCCTTTTAAATTATACCATCTACCCCATTATTTGTTCAACTTTTACAGAATCACGAATTTTTCAGTTGTATCCCTGATGTATGCTTTCTTTTGCATTTGGCAACCTATTCTTTCTTATATCTTTTTATTTGCTCGTGAGATTAAGTTATAAATGAGGTCTTTTTTTTAACGATCTCTGGTGAGATTAGCTTGCACATCTCATTAGAGTCATGCGACTATCTACGAGGAGTAAACAATATTTGGCGGGAGGGGGGGACCAACTAATAATTTGCACCAACAATGATTTGGTCCTCTCTTGTACCATACTTTGAAACTCTGAACATCTCTCACTCCCCCCATTGTGAATGACATCATTAATGTAAGGAGTCAAATCATTTTTTCTTTGACTACAATTTATTTTTATAATTTTTAGTTATTAAGAATTGATATATTTAATCCTATTGCAGTTTCTAAATATGCATACATTTCTCGGTATTTTGGCTAAGATTATGGGCAATTTCTAAGAATTATTTAGGATTGTGTATGAATGCATACTATGTTGCTCGGACTCTTTGGAAATATCTCCGGATGCATGCCGGATCCTCCAAATGTAGTGCATTTTTGGAGGATACGATACGGGTGCGACAGCATTTTGGAGAGCCCACGCAGCATAGAATGCATATCGAAAAGTAGATGGTTTGACCAGTGTTGTAAATAGCGCTCACTAATAGCGAGTAGCAACGCGAAGCGGGGTTCAGACGCTTGTTTTGGTCTGTTGCGATGCGTTTTTAAAAAGCGACGGCGAGGCGACAAGGCAAGGTAGCGACAGAGGCGTCGCTTTTTAAAAATAAAAGAAAGAAAAAAGAAGAAACTTAAATAAAAGTTAGGGTTTTCTTCGACTTAGAGGTACTTCTTTCTTTTTCCTTCTTCTTTCGTTTCTTTTTCTTTTTCCGGCAGTAAGCCTCTCTTGTTTCTTCTTTCTTTTCTTTTTCTTTTTATTTTTCCAGTAGTGAGTCTTCTTCGTTCTTCTTCTCTCCGGCAACAACTGATTTCCAGCAGAGATATTCTTTCTTTCTTTTCTTTCACCTTTGTTTTCGCTTTTGCTCTTCTTTCTTCTTTTGTTTCTCTCTTTTGATTTTTCTTCCAGTTTAGTAAACAATTAAAATTGCATATTAACTTCTCTCTATAATTAAAATTACAATTAATTGTTATTTTCTCTTTAATTATAATTAATTTCTCTCTATAAACAGTATATTAAAATATTTGATTTCTATCTACTGAGTTTTTGAATTGATATATTTACTAATATGTTGTTGTTATTGAGTTTTTAGTTATTTATATGTGCAAATTTAATATTTTATTTTTGTATTAATTGGCGCTTCACATAAAAAAGGCGAGCGCTACGCTTCTCTCTTCTTGCCACAGTGAAGCGGGCCATCATTGCTTTTGGTCGCCTCACGCTATCCAAAACAATGGTTTTGACATTCGCTCTACAAACCCCGTCATTCTTTTGTGACAAAGGTGCATATTTACAAAGTATGATCCTCATTAACCTCTATTATTTGTGCATTCACACAGCTTAGACTTATTCATATCTCATGTGAAGCAAATAAGCAATTTAGATATCATGCACGTGAGCATGTCAAATTTATGTATAGGAATATTATTTTTTTTATTAAGATAGGTAATATGTATAGGGAAATTTTAACTGTATGTTCCAATTTTTCCATCATGGATACTCACATGTGGCACAACCCAATTTCATGAATAGATCATTAAACGGGAGATCCAACTTATTTTACATGAAACTTTAACCTAATTTCACAAGTAGATCATGAATAACTTTTTTAAAAAAAAGGTACCGTCCAAATTGCAAAATGGAGCATGCACTAGCGAAGCAACCTCAAGCACTCGTGATTTAAAGAAAAAAAGATGAAACAATTAGGGATCAAACACGTGAAAATATTTCATAGGTAAAACAAGTGAAAAAATATTAGGGACCAAACACGTGAAAAAAAGGACAAAATACTAGGGACCAAACACGTGATAGCAACAAAGTGACGTGGCCACTGAATTGTGTGAACTAACCCTTCTAACGTTTAAGCTGTTAAAACCTTCTTTCTTTGGATCCCTCACGTGCATGTCTGATTTTTTTCTTGGACCAAATACATGAATCTTTTTTTGAACGGTAACTGCAAAAATTGAATCCAAGTTCTGATTGTTCTGATACCATATTGAATTATGTGAACCACCTCATCTAAAAACTTGAGTAATCAGAGGGGGCATTGCAACAGTCATAAATCAGACACCTCAAACCTTCAAGTGTTAGAGTGGAACATCTAGGTCATTTAATTAGAACAAGTACTAAAATGAATGCATATTGGTCTAAAGTTATCCTTAACAGGAAGTTTGAGAATTATTTCTCAATTCCCTACTATTTTTCTAATTTTCATTTTATTTTTTGGCCTTATGGCATGATAAATGTAAGGACTAGCTGAACCTCTATTTGCATCTCCACTATAATACCAATCAATCAAAATCATCCTCATATTTGGAGATTCAAAAAGAGGCTTTTTATCTCGCAACTCACGCCTTAATCACGATGTCCTCAACCTTCATTACCGTAAAGCGCCGTAAGTTTTAAATATTAATTACGGCTAATTACGGGCCTAATGATGTAACTAAAGTGCCCCCGAGGTGTAAACGGATCCACACGAAGGAACATGATAATCTATGTATGGTATGGTCTGAAAGTGGTTTGTAGTGATAAAAGAACAAGGAAAGATGAAAACTTGAAGTTGGAGACAAGAGCTGGCGTCTAGGCACTGACGCACTGTCGGGCTGGTCTCATGCCACAAGAGAGAGTTCCCGGCCAAAAACATGAGACCATACAATTTTTTTTATCAGTACATGCGACAATACAGTTATGGCCAGAGTGAGCTTGTTGTGAGAAACTCACATGGACCGAGTCAAGGAGCTCGAGTCGAGATATAGTGTCAGGAGGCCAAAATGTTGAGGCACTTCAATTTGGGGTAATCGCGCAATCACTGCAGGGAAAGGACCTGGGCAGGCCAACCATGCCTCACGATGGCCTCACATTGCGAGAAGGCCCGATCCAGGCAGGGCACAAGTTCTGTGACAATCTTGCGCCACGAGAAACCCAAGGGCTATAAATTATGTCAACAGTAATAATTCAGTTATTCCTCAAATATTTGGCTGGAGATCCAGATCATATTGGAGCAATTCTTTTAAATTGCAACTAACATGAATGTAAGGCAGCAAAATAAGGGTTCCCAGGCTTCAACCATAGTAAAAACTGGGCATCAACTTAAGTACCAAAAATGTCTCCTCAAGTTAAGCAGTTTAGCTTTGAGCTACTTAGCTTAATAAGGAAGCTCAACCTTGAAGGGGTCCAACATGGCTTGGTTTGCACTGAAGATATATAATTACTTTAAAATTGGTATAATGTCCACACATGTAACAGAATCTTTAAGCTTATTTCCAAACTGGTTCGACTAAGGCAATCATATATTAAACTCAGTTTTAATATGTATAAATTCTTAAAATAAACTTATTTGACGAAGGGACCACTGTAACGGAATATTATATTTTATCATAGCATTGTGCTTACCGTGCTCCCGCCAATACCCAAGAAAGCCCTCATTCTTCTTGCCGTCTCAAGAGCAGCTTTGAACAAAAATGGTGTCCCATTTGATACCACGATCTCAATATCCCTCCTTGAAAGCGATCTATAAAACATGAAACAGGCGCACACAAAGATGAAAACAATGTTCATATTATCTCATAAGTATCTAAAACCTACATTTCAGTGTTTTGTCTAAAGCAAAGTGCTTAGGAGCAGAATTTTATTTTGGAGAAGTACTAAATCTTCTTGCCATAGACATTTCAGAAATCAAACAACTTCAAAAATTTCAACATTCAATCATTGGTAATTTTAAACGAATCAAATAAGAGATACATCAGGAATATTCAATCTTCAACATACATACTCGTATAGATATGCATAAAATACTTCCAACAGCTGCCCTTAGATACAAACATATGTCATATGTCCTTGATTATTTATTTCTATATCTCACTCTGTCCTCACTCCATTTGGTTCTATTTTTCTTGGAATACCTTCATATAGGCCTCTTTATCTTTACTTAGGAACTTAAATAGATAACCAATACTCTTGCTCGTGAGCCAAACCAAATAACCCTATAACCTTTTTCAAGCTGTATTCTTTCCTTTTTTTTATTATATCATAGAGATCCCCTATGGCAAGTGATGCACGGTTTGAAACATAGTGGATAATGTGCTCGTCCCTCTAATTCACTTATGTTTGAAGTTGTCTCCAATCTTCATTATGTCATATCGTATTTCAATTATAAAGAAAAGGGTCTGAAGAAAAATATCAAACAACAAGGACGAAAAATAAAATGTCTACCATTCAAGGCAATATAACATTATTGAGAATTTCCACGAATTATTAGCAGAGGCTAAGATTACTCTCAGTGTTCCTAGAAACAAAATGAAAAGAGACAGATAGAGAAGGAATCGAACCCTATGAGATCGGGGCGTTCCCGAGCAAAAGTTAAGCAGACGCTGGCAGCACGAACGAAGTCATCGGACAACTCCTCGTACGCCACGAAGGAGTCTTCTACTGCGGGAGCTAGTTGGCCATTGGCAGTAAGAACACTAATAAAGCTACACCATTCAGGCCAAGGGTGGGAGATAAAACAAGACGAAGAGGAGTTGAGTGGGTTATTACTATTATTAATGGGTTGCGCGTGGAATTGTTGTTGTTGTTGGGAGGAATTGATGGGCGAAAGAGGGGATATATGGGCGTGACTGTAGACTGTGAAGCGACGTGAAGCGGAGGGAAAACGGCGAAGGTGGAGCAAAGAAGGGCGTCGGAGGTGATTGAGGAGAGTGGGGAATGGAGTGGCGAAGAGGGAGATGAACCTCGACGTGCCGCCCATTCTTGGAGGTTTTGCTAAACCCTTTGAAAGCTTATTACAGAGACGGGAATTGGTTTCTGGCTAAGCGGGTCTGAGATAGTTTGGAGAAAGTTTGGATATGATGGACCATTCCATGGGTATTTAGGGCGGTTCGAACCGAAACCGAAAAAACGAACCGAAATCCAAGCTTAATAGCTTATTAGTATCGGATTAACGGGTTAATGGACGGAGAACGGATTAAAATTTTTTTATTAACGACTTATCGGTTTAGGGGCGAATTATTCAATTTTTTTAACGAATAATCCGTTAACCCGTTAAGAATATATATATATATATNTTTCTAACTAGTTTCATGTCAACGTTTCTTAGCAAAATCCGAAAGAATAGCAGAAGAAAGGACACAAGCCAGTTACAATGAAATTTATAGAGCAACAATAGCTTCAACCACAACCAGCAGCGACAGCTCTCAGGTTAATCCTGCTAATATCAACAATTGCCATAAGCTAAGCATCATAGTTGAAAATACAATTCATCTGTTACAAAAAAGGCATTTATAATGTTTGTCATCATTATAAGGCACCGAAGAATGTCATCATTTCAATCAACCGAAACTAAACCGATAACCGCCCGATAATAGCTAAACCGATACCAATCCGCCCGATATCTTATTGGGTGGCTAGCGGATTAATACGTTTAAAAACCGATAACCGATAAGCCAAACCGTTAAGAGTAAATAACTGCCCGATCCGCCTGTTAAGCAGCCCTATGGGGATTAATCTTGCGAGTATCAATATTATGCATTTCTTTTTCTCTTTTTGTTTGGTTTTTTAAGGTAATAAAGTGAAAAATAATATATCTCTAATCTTTTCTGCGTCTTCCTTTTTCTCTCTTATTTTTCCTACTACTATTGGAGGGGCGTCCATGCTAGAACTGATCAAAGAAGAATGATTTGTGTCACATTCTCACTATGCAATCAGCAATGTTCTTTTAAAATTGTCACATTCTCATTGTGCAATGTTCTTTTAAAATAGCGGCTTAAACACATCATTGAATAAACCTTTCTCGACCAATAACCCAAAATATACCCTAGCCCCTTGGGGATCCCGGCTTTTTTCATTCGTTATGCGACTGAATGCGTACTCGCGTGATCAATTGATGGACGGGGGAATTGCGTGAATGATGAGACCGGCCTAACCTAAAGTCAAGGCTCTTTCCTCTCTTGATGGCGCGATTGAGAATCTCGAGAACCTTTCCGAACCAACAAGTTTAAATACATCATCCAAATTTATCTAAAGGCTCGAAGTACCACAAGTAACATCAAAATCAAGGATTGGAAATCAAATCATTCTTTTAAGTTTCAAACATTCCAACTTCGCCAAATGCGTCTAAATCACACTTTGACATTCCGGATCACAACCAAACTTTGCATACAAGTTTCAATCAACTAAATGAACCTATTTAAGGTCTCAAAACTATAATAAGAGTCTGATAATACCGAAATCAACTCTCGGTCAAGCCTATGAATCCCCCCCCCCCCCCCCCCAAATTCTTTAAATTGTCAACTTTAGATAAATAGAGCCAAAACCTTCTAGGAACCTCCAAATCAAAATTTGAACATACGTCCAAGTCCAAAATCATCATACGAACATATTGAAACTAGCAAAATACGATTTTGAGGTCATTTATCTAAAAGTCAAACATTGATCAACTCTTTCAACTTTAAGCTTCTAAATTGAGAATTACTCTTCCAAATCAATCCCGAACCTCTCCAAAATCAAAACCAACCATACATGCAAGCCATAATACATCATATGAAGCTACTCAAAGTCTCAAACTACCGAACGGAATGCTAAAGCTCAAAATGGTCGGTCAAGTCATTACATACCAAGTTTATCAAGACCCAAAATTATGTGACCAGCACCCGACATACTACTCGACTCCGATGGACCAAGCAGTACAAGAATACTCACCAATATGCCTAATAGATTCATGCAGAATCCGTTTTAAAAAACAGTCATGTTAAATTAAAATCGTGTATGAAATATAATTATTAAATCAATCCATTTTAATAACTGAAAGTACATAAAGATAATAATATTTGTTTCATGCATTCCGTATGAATAACCATCAATTATAATCCCACAATAATAACAAGTGTCTATAAAATTTCTAAAACACAAGAATCATGACGACCCAAAATCCATCTAGTCGTGACGGCACCTAACCCAACCCGCAAGGTAAGCCAAATAATAGTCAACATAGTTCTAATGAAATAAAAATGGTCCACAAATAAAATAATTGAATTTCAAACAATTTTTCAAGGACTGGTAGTACAAGTCATGAGTCACTGAGATTTAAATTTTCAAAGCTAGTGTGAAATAAATACAACATCTGTTTGGAATATACATAAATAGAATTCAAATCTAACACTACCAAGGACAAGTGATAGTTATATCTGGTTGCATCTCCAGTCCAGCTCCCGTCATCCACAGCATCTCAGCTCCAAGATCTGCACACAAGGTGCAGAAGTGTAGTATGAGTACAACCGACCACATGTACTCGATAAGTATCATAACTAACCTCGCGAGGGAATAGAAGCAAGAATTATAAATGATACTCGCTAATCACTTGTACAGTTTATAATTTCCAACAAGTACAGAACAGTAATATGAACAAGTCATGAAATTACAGATAAGACCACCTTGCTGCACATAATTTTCTTAACGTACTCTACTCAGTCAACAAACCAACATATAAAGAGATATGCAAATAAATCAGATAAACTGCCAAGGAAATTGCAAGTAAAAAAGAAATACAATACTCAAATATCAATTTGTTGCAGCACGCAACCCGATCCAAAAAGAAATCGCATCACGGCTCCTAGGACCACATCAGAATCTCAATAACCAAACCAAACCAGCTCTCCAAAAGCTCACATCAATCAGAAACCCGTCGGTTTCTCACAATTCGAGAGTACACCATCAAGAGAGAAACATGAGAAGGTGACCCTAGGGGGTGGATCCATATTCACACATTGCACGACCAATTCAACGTGCTGCACGGATAACTCACGTGTTAATAATATCAATCGCACAGACAACTCACGTATTGCGCGGACAACTCACGCGACATAATATAGTATCTAGATTCGCAGGACAACTCACGTGCTGCCGGGATAACTCACGTGCCAATAATCACAATTCACCCGGCGTGATCATAGGCATAACAACACAATCTGCACGACGTGATCATAGACATAACAACACAATTTGCCCGGCATGGTCACGGGCATAACAACACAATCCGTCCGGCGTGATCATATGCATAACAACACAATCCACCTGGCATGATCACATGCATACAGCACAATCCGCCCGAAGTGGTCACAAGCACCCAGTCCAAATCATGTCACACAAAAGTAAATACACAAGAATACATGTATATGATAACTGAATATCACATTCCATGCTTCTGGACTGGTATAATGACATGCTAAGGTGTATGCATGTGCAAAGTGTGCTATCATAGCTCAAATCAGCATTTTCATCAAGGAACTAGCAATTATCAAATTCATTCAGGGAATTAGCCGCTATGTAACCTCAAATATAGATCAAATAATTCACAACAAGGTTACAAATATGAGAAACATCACAACATAAAGCTTAACAATAAATTCAAGGCATGTCATAACCTAAACACTACCCCGAGCACGGATAATTAACTCGGTGCTTGCACATGGGCTCAAACCCCACACATATGCACACCCATATCACGTAGCTATCACAAATAACTCAGGCAACTAGTGCCTCAACCAAGTTTAAATAAGATACTTACCTCAAGCAAGCCAAAAACAAAATCGAGCAAGCCCAACAATACTCTAGAAACGTTATCCCGCTCGAATCGACCTCCGAACGGCCAAGAACTAGCCAAAAGCAACTCAAAAACATCACATAATGCCAAAGGAAATAAACCCAAATGATAAAGGTCGAATCTTTAATCAAATACTCAAAGTCAACTAAAAAGCCAACCTAGGCCCGCACCTCAAAACCCGACAAAACTCACAAATTCCGATAACTCATTCGAATACGAGTCCAACCATACTAATTTCACTCAAATCCTACTCCAAATTGATGTTCAAGACTCAATAATCCACTGTAGGAAAATTTAGACAAACCCCCCTAATTTCTTCTTTTAGAATCATAAATCAAATATCAAAATCGAATATGGAATCATGGAATATAATCAAAACTGAGTGAAAAATGCTTACCCCAATCCATATGGTGGAAATCCTCTCCAAAATCGCCCAAAACCAAGCTCCAAATCTCAAGTTGTGATAAAATAAACCAAACCTCAATTTATAAACGTGTGCCCAGCTCTTTCGCATTTGCGAACAATAGGCCGCTTCTATGACAAATATCTCATTTCTGTGGAGACCACTGAAAGCTCATCCTTTCGTACCTGCGGATAACGTCCCGCTTCTGCGCTCCAAGCCACCGCTTCTGCTCTGCCGCAGACGTGCCCAAAATCTCGTATCTGCAGAGATCACCCAAATTAGTCTCCTTCGCAGGTGCGACCATAAATCCGCTTTTGCGACCACCGCACTTGCGCAACTCCAATCGCATGTGCGCAACTCCAGAACTAGCAGAAACCAGCAACTCCATGAAGGAAAAATGGTCTGGAACACGTCTGCAACTTGCCCAAGACCCCCGGGCCCCGTCCGAACATACCAACAAGTTCTAAAGCCTAACACAGATTTACTCAAGGCCTCAAATCACACATAATAACATCACATCCACGAATATTACCTCAAATCAAGCTTAATGAACTTTTGAACTTTCAACTTCCAAAACTCGCGACGAACCATATCAATTCAACTCAGAATAACCTCAAATTTTGCACACAAGTTCCAAATGACATAACAAACCTATTCTAGCTCCCGGAATAACAATATAAATCCGATATCATCAAAGTCAACTCCCGGTCAAACCTATAGATTTTCCAAACCTTCAAATTGCCAACTTTCGCCAATTATGGTCAAAATCTTCTAGCAGTCGCCAATTACAAATCCGGGCATATATCCAAGTCTAAAATTACCA